TGCTGATTTGCCTGTGAAACAAAGAAGAAAAAAATTAGTACTACTAATCAATACGTATGGTGACAATACAAACCAATTCCACCAAACCATGCTCACAATTCTTTCCAGGTTCGTCATAGCACCGCAACTAGGCATTTAAATGGCAGTAGTTTTGCTCATAGAGCATTCCATTATCTATTTTATACGCCTGGCAATATCCCCATACAAAAATATCCACCGGTACACCTAGGCTGCCTGAAAAAAAAAAGAAAAAATAATTATAGCCAATTGTATGCATTAAAAGTCTATACTTACGATTGCCCCTTGACTGTAGGTCCCACACAATGGAGTTAGGATAACCTGCAACAAGAAAAAAATACACAATTAATTACATTGAAATAATCACCTTCAGCTTAACACAAAAAAATGTAAACAATCTTCTTCTTATCTTTTCTAATGAAATGGCATTCACTAGTGAATGATGACATTCATTCATTTATAACGTTGCCAATTGATTCGAGAAACGATGAGGGTGCGTAAGCGCAACTTGTACGTCGACGTTACCACGCACCGCAACCGCACCGTTTCTCATGTATGTGTGTATGTGTGAAACAGCAAAAAGATGAATGATGCTGTTTCCAAAGAACCACATGGAATCATGAAATGACTTACCATGAATTTTACCCGGCGATGAGACTTCAGGGGTGAGAATTCCCCACGTTGTCCAAAGAAAATCACACGCACATCGACCCTTGCAAAATCGACTCAGCAATGGTCGAAGTTTTGTTGCGTGGGTGGGTGGGATGAATGATTTTTTTTTTCTAGGGCGGCGCTATCCAAACTATCTGCAACAATTGAAGCACAGCCACTCGTTCGGGCCAATACATGGATTGGTGGACTCCGCCAAAAATATAATTTTCCTTTAAATTTAAAATCACCAATAAATTATTTGACGCGCGCGCTCTGCGTGTGAAACCCGAACTGAAGAGACTGAGGAAATGAACAGTGTAGCCACATCAATAAAAAATAAGGCTGTGTTCAGTGTACTTATTACTACATTTTTATCAACACTGAAAAAGGGTAGCCATTTAGTGCAACATTCGCCATTAAATGTATTTTCCTAAAAAATTATTGGAAAATTGATGAAAATGGAGGAAAATGTAGACTCTATAAATAAGGGTAGGAGCAAGATTATAGCTCTAGTCTAGGATTAACCGCCACAGGTCTGAGTGCACCACAAAACTGTTGAGAAAAATCCAAATAAATACCAAAAAAAGACAACGACAGTCAATATATGTGTAAACGTTTTTATTTAATGATATATTTTGTTAACCGGTGGAATCAAAAAATTACCGTGAGTTTTCTTATAATGAGGTGATTTGATATGAGTATAAACGGGAGATATTTTGTGGTAGGTTCCCCAGAAAAACGCCAACACCAATCTGCTACTGGCCTCCGGTATTCCCAAGAGGAGGTCAGTGAGTATTTTTTTGGATCTCCAACGAGCCTTTTGTGTTGTGTGTGTGTGGATGTGTGGCCTTTCAGCTGTTTTTGCCAGCAGCAACATAAACCAAATTTTGTGTGGCCGATGGTAATCTAAATCCTCCTTTATTTTTTGGCCGGAACAGAGGTAACGGTGCTACTCAGCTAAGATAGGCGGTTATCTGGAAGTATATCAAAAGAAAAATAAGAAAGCGATAAATTTTAATACCTACAATGAGTTGGGAATAAACCCAATGCTTTAGCCTTAAAGGGATTCCCAAAGAAATATTTTTAAAATTCGTTAATATTGATAATTATTATAAGACAAATTATTTAAGTGTATCTTGTGTTGTCCTTGTGTATGTCAACTTTTTATTTGAATTTGTAAGGATTTGTGATTTGACTCCAGATTGTCTTTAAGTGTTTAAAGGTCATATAATTCTCTGAAGGAAGACTAGGGATTCGTCGTATGTAGTTTTAATGCCGGATTGGCCTATTCAACCATTATAAACGAGCTCCTTTATAATAGGTACTTGATGACTAGTTTTTAAAGTGTTATTTAAAAGAATCTCTAGCGTTTCAAAGAGGGAATTTTAATATCGAATTTGTTTTTGTTTCATTGATATATTGAGTGATCTGGGGTTGAAGAATCCGAGACAGGTTTTTTAGTTTTAAGGCTTATATTATAAGAATAAATGTAATATGTGTTGATTTTGTTACCCTAACTAATATGTTGTAATCGTTCTTCTAGAGAGGATTCTAAGAAGGTGATGAGGTGAGTGTGTGTGTGTTTGCGGGGTTTCCAATAATATTGATACGTTGGAACGTTTGGAAACCATGGTTGGGAGGGCAAAATGTGAGAGTAAAACATCTATACTCTCTTATCAAGGCAGGTGTTGTGTTTTGAATGTAATGGGTTTGTTTATTTGAATAGTAAAGTCTCATTTTCGTGTTCGCCCCTGATGGGCTAGAGATGTGGACGGGTTGAGGACCATAGCCCAGAGACCGCTAACTAGCCGGAAGGTCCCCTCTAGCGCCGCCTAACAGGGAGTCGTAACACTGGATGATTTTATACATAGGCATTGATACTATTTGGTCTATTCCTGTACTGCAAGAATCGACTACTTTTTACTACGATAACAAATTTTCCATTATCATATCGAAGAAAATAATAAAATGTAACAGTACGTTTACATTTAACCGGATTTCGTTAACCCAGTGGGTTTCAATTGCCATTTCCTTTCCATATATGTCAAATAAATCCTTATAAAGTAGGTTAACCCCGGTAAAAAGTTCTAATGTACAAGGAATTTAATAGGTTATTGCAGTATGAGAACAGACCAACTGTTCTATTCCAGTACATTTTTAATAGTAAAGATAGTGAATGGGAAAAATGTCAAAATCGTTCTCTGAATACAAAATCATTCAACAAGTTTTTGAACGGAAAACTAGTAAAAATGCAAAGAATAGATGATAATACTTCCAAATCAACAAAACTTTCAATCATAATTAGGTATTCCGGTATTTGGTTACTCAGTAAGTCCTATTTGTCATCGCTACATTCTTGCATTCGGGAGATACAGTACATTCTTTCGGAAAATTGAAGTCCGATACCAAAAAAGCCAAATGCAAAATCGACAGAACAATTATTTTAAATTCTTCTCTATATTCATTTTTACAAGAATCAAAAATAATTCTGATTACAGAATTCATAAAATTTGAATACGAAGCGATTTAAATAATTTGAAAAATTAATTATTTGTGTACAGTACACAAATTAGTACTGTACAAATTTACCCTCTTCACTATACTGAAAGGCTCATAACTTTACCAAAATTTTGATTTTTTATATTTCTCTTTATATGTTTCCCATCCATATAATTCACATCTACTAGCTGTGTATTAAATATAAGCTCTAAAGCATTTTGTTGATTGTGGGCAACATTGGGCCACAAAGGGTTAAAGAATATAATATGTTTCTAACATATGTGGTCTGTTCCCGTACTGCAAGAATCTACTACTTTTTACTACGATAACGAATTTTCCTTTATGATATCGAAAAAAATAGAAAAATCGAGTAGATTCTTGCAGTAGGGGAACAGACCATTGGTCTGTTGTCGATATATGAGTAAAAAGACACATCTATGTTTTAAAAGTTTACAAAGAAAACACAATTTTGTTTTCTATTCACTTAAATGTGGTTCATATTTTTACATATATTTGTTCACAATTGGTCTGCTCCCGTACTGCAAGAATCTACTAGATTTTACTATTTTCTTCGATATCATTTTACTATTATAATCGATACCTCTCAAGTTTGGTGTCAAAATGGATTATTGTGAATTGACTTCCATTATGAAAACGTAAACAAAGTCGAAATTTTTGACATTAACTTGAGAAAAAACAGCTGTTTTCGATTGCTGTTTATTTATAGGCAATGATCATGGCCTATAAATAAGGTCACCAAGGGAGACCAGCTGATTATCGATACCTCTCAAGTTTGCTGTCAAAATGCATTATTGTGAATTGACTTCCATTATGAAAACGTAAACAAAGTCGAAATTTTTGACATTAGACTTGAGAAAAAACTGTTGTTTTCCGATTTCGATTGCTATCTTGGTGACCTTATTAATAGATCTTGGGCATGATCTTGCAAAACAACATTTATTTTTAACAGATCGGATACCGGTTACTCTCGAAAAAATCGATAACTTGATCAATTCCGCGCGTGTTTTATCATGCCGCTCATGGTCCAATAAAGTGGGGCACACACCTCAAACATGTGCGTTCGATCGGTGTGAAGCTCCTAGCCCACACACGTCAAACGGATCCATTAAACTTCATTTCATATTTATTTTTGAAGCGTGAAGATGGACCGCGATAGTGATGACGGAAAAAAGACGTAATATTTTTATTTAATATAAATGTATTAAATACTTTTATTTTATTCCGGGAAAAACATTTTTATTTGCCACACATATGTGTAAAAACATCAAAAAATCTTCCAAATACATATGTATTGCATTTATCCGCTGATCCGCACTCCACGAAATTTCTCAACAAATGAGAAAATATCCACACACCAGGCCACAGACGTCAAACATGTGAGCGTCGCACAACGAAAAATTAAAAATTTTTAATTTCTTTCGATCGGTGTGCGCACCGGCAAATCGGTGTGAACACCGTACCACACACGTCAAACATTGCTTCGATTCACACCGATCGAACGCACATGTTTGACGTGTGTGGGCCACTTAATTGATTGGGCATTGATGCCGTTATTCCCCGAATAAAAACTTTTTAAAATTAAGGGAGGAATAAACAGTGAGGACAAATTGTTCACAATGTCCATAAATAAAAATCAGAACAATTAATTTTCAAAAAATGTGCAATCAGTTTATTTGAAGTTTTACAATTCGATTCTTAAATATTAACACTGACAATAGAAGTTTATATTACATTCAAATCAACAATTTTATATAAAGTGCCGTTACGTACAAATTGAGGCTGTAGGTAATACCAAGAAATATCAATACTATTTAGTAAACATTTAAATATCAAATTTTCGATAGACCTTCCCAGCGATCAGGAACTGTATAGAAATAACGATCCATAGCATCGGCAAAACGCATTCTGTAACGTTCTGGCGGTATAATGGTGGGCAATTTCCCCATACCACCAAGTATACCGGTCTGTTTAACAAATGATTCGACCTTTTTGTCAAAAGTGAAAGTTCGTATGTAATCTGAAACAGAATAGACGTGTTACCAAATCGTAAGTTTTATTTAATATATTTTGTTTACAACTTTTACCTATAATGCCCAATACCAAGACTCCGTTTTTATCATCGAGGCCAACAAGTAGGGAATAATCCATGACTTGATTCTTTTCCAAGAAACTGGCATCGCGATGAATGGCATCCTTCAAAACGACTTTACTGTGAGTTAAAATGTACAAAGGTTTTAGCCAGGACACTGTAATTGTATTGCAATTGGTTAGTTTTTCCATTCTAATTGACAACATATTTAGTGAAATTTTGGATTGTCTGTCTTACTTTGAACAAAATTCTCATCCAGCAGGACTGTGTCGCCCTGTTGTTGATTTGTGGGATCCACCAAACGATTGCGTTCAGATCCCTTCAAGTCGAATTTATTTTTAATATCACATTCATAGAAAAGATTTTCCATCACCAACAAGGCCTTCTCGACAACGGAGCTATAATGCATGATCACCATTAGGAATAATTGGATTAGAAAGATTGTCCCAGTATGACTCTACTTACTCCTTTTTCTTTATGGTAACTTTAAATACACCGAATATTTTAGCCAAAAGTGTAGGTTGACTCTTCTGCTGGCATTTACTCAAATAATCGAAATAGTTGGGAGCAAAATTTTCAAACATGCTAATATCGCTCTTGTTCATTTCCTTTAGGACAAACCGATCATCTACAACAATTCACAACACAACCAGGGTTATCAAGAGACAAAACAACATTATATAAACAGTCGGGCTTACCAGAAGTTTTGCAAAATCTCGAACCCGATTTACCACCTTTCGCCTCCCATTGAACACTGGTACACAACGAACGGGCAAAGTAACAACGACATTCTTCGGTAACATCCATTTGGGAATTTGAGTTTTCATCTTTGTTGTTTTCCCATTTGATATCCGGTACAGCGCTGTGCGGTTGACCAACATCGCTGGGTTTTCGAACCAATTCAATCTCGGGACCATTTTTACTTTGTGTGACTTTCAACTCTTCACGATTTTTGATGCGTTCAATTTCTTTGTAGACGGATTTATCGAGTTTGGGAGATTTCAGGGTTTTAGCCCTCATCTGATCGAATTCGTTGGCAAAATAGATCTTGCATGTGAACTGGGTCTGGTTATCGTGGAATGAAATTTCCACATGGGAATTGTTTGATTTCGATTTTGTTCGCTCTTCTTCGGGATTCACATTAGGTGGCGGTGTACTGGTATCCTTTAAGACATCTTCAATGTCATGATTTCTAAATGAATTCGAAAATAATTTTTTTTTTTTGGTTTTTGAATTAATTTGCAATGTTGTATATGTATGTGTGTTTGTCTTACCCCTCTTGAGACTTTCGTTTTACGTGTGGACTGGGATTGGCACTAATGCCAGAATTGCTGGATATGGAAGTAGTATCTGTGAAATGTTGCTGTGTAGCCAGTACACTCAGTGCCCTTTTGTACTCCATGGAGGTGAGGCAATACGCAATAATCGAACTAAAGTCGTGATCGTGTACAACCATGGGGAATGCTCCCAAAGGCAATGTGTAATGTTCTAAAGGGCTAAATGGCGACTGCAAAAGATTTACGGGACCTGTTGAGGGCAGCAATTGCGTCAACATTTTCTTGATTGTTTTCTTGTCAGACGAAGTAGAACTACTGCCGGCATTGGACGAGGGTGGCACTGCGGGCATTATAAAATGCGAATCCGAACTTGATTTGTCCGCACTGTTTGGTGTCTCACTGTTTTGTACACCTTCCTGATATTCCTCGCCACTAGCTGTTCCCACCAAGCGGGATCCATCCGCAACAACCGTCTTAGGAGTGGGAGAATAGTCTGTGTTTTCCGAACGCAAATCTTCTGTACATATGGTACCGGCATCGATGACATGGTGACCTGTTTCCTGAGCCTGTTTCGATGCAATTTTCTGAGCTACAACCATTTCATGCAAACGAGGTCCCCACTGGTCAATGCATTCGGCAAGCACTCGTTTAGCCATTAACAGGGAGTCGTTTATGTCATATGGACTGGCCTTGTTCTCGGTTAACAATGTTTGTACTATTTCCACCTTTTGTTTGAATAAAAATTGATCCTTGCTCAGTATGGTCTTGAGATTGGCTACCAGAGGTGAATTTTCATCTTCCGTTGCCAAATCAGCTATGCGCTCATGTATTCGGGTGTATATGTCATGGCCCTTCATGGAGAAATGTTTGACATCTTCGAGCACCTCAAACCGGTTGAAATCCTTTGGCGGATGTAGGTCTAGTGTCAGATATGGCAGGGATATTTCCCACGTATCAATGGGCGTATATTGGAATTTAGCAACAACACCTCGATAAGTAAATTGATGAATATAGTCACGGTGGAGCGAATGCTGGCAGGCTGTCGTTGTGGTACCATTAATACTCTCATCTCCTGAGGATCTTTTGCGATATGCATGACCATGAAAACGTAACTCCAGATATTTTGCCAACGACAGACATTTGGTAGTTTCGGACAGAGGAGCGCTGGGAGTTACTGCATTGCATATATTACACCACGCCGTAAAGTATATGTTATTCGGATCTGAGTTGGTGTTATCTTCGCTGAGGAAAACCTTGACACAGCCCATTGAATGGACATAACGCCTGGTGTGACCCAACATGGGCAAATTACACCGTGTGCACATATAGGAACGACGACAACAATAGCGCTGCAGAAATTGCCCCAGCATTATATCGTGTTGGCCATAGAATTTCATATCCAACAACGTGGGTGTGGCACAAAATGAGGATGCACCCTTTGGATTAAAAATGAAACTACAGAATAGCACCGGCAGTCGTTGATGGTTCTCAATATCGAGCGCATCTTTGTAGACATTTCCATCGTTGCATTTTTGGTTATTTTGATACTTTTTCTCCTTCCGGGGCTTTAGGAATTTAAACACTGATAGGAAACATGTCATTTATGATGTTGTTTGAAAATTAAAACAAATAATCCATACTTACTTTTCGATCGCTTTGGATACCTTCCACCGTACGCTCTAAACTCTGCCAGCAGAGTCTGAATGTCTTTATTGTCGATTGGTGCGGTAATTTTCATTTTTAGAAATTCATGTGGTGGATTTAACTCCACCTGATCCTCATCCGTTGGTATTATTTCGGTACTTTCTAAACGTTCCATATTATAGGAATTTGAGTTCGCCGTACTTGGATCTGACCACAGCTTGGAATAATACAATTCAGGGGGGAAAAGAGCGCGCAAAGGACATTTGCGACCCTGTTCGGTTTCCAAGTACGGTAGGGGAAATGACAGAAATGGACTTACAGAAAGTATAGTTGAACTTAGGGCACTGCGGAAGCGATTATCATAGCGATGCTCAACGGCTAACTGTAAATTTTGTGACGCTTCTAGGTTAGTTTTGTTGTCGGTAGACCTTAAGGGGTCACTAAAGTCAGCCGAAACATCTGTTGATGTTGTTAGGATTTTTTCCTCCGATTTGCGTTCCACAACCAGAGTTCGCTTTGGTATTGCCGAGCGCAGTTGCGGCAACTCTTCCTCTTCATCACAATCGTCGTCGGGCTGTTTCTCTTCAGCAAGACTATTGGACTTCTTCTGTGTTAAGTTAGCATTCTCATCTGCTGGACTGGTTTCTTTGGAGTCGAAAATGGGTGGTTTATGTGCCAAAGCTTCGGCAAACTCATCCAAGAGGAATGACATTTCCAGGCGCCAATTGTAGCGAGCATAAACCAAAAATGAGGCAATCTTTTTCACCTTGGCCAATTCCTTGTTGCTTGCCCCCCTCAGTAGACAAGTATAGCCTCTGGGACTCTGTAGTTTTTCGAAAAACATAAGAGTTTTTGTTGCCCCGTTATCATCGTGGTAATTTCGAATATAGAAGGCGTCACATTTTCCCAGTTTTGGTCTTTCAATATTGCCCTCGATTGTGGTGAGAACATCACACTGCAATGTTCGGGCTAGGCGTTCCATCACCGACAATTTTACATCCAATACCAGTGTTATGCCATTCGAGCGCAGAATGTCTTGTGCGACACCGGCTACATTTTTATGTACCAATACCACATTCGGTTTGAAACTCATAATGCGAGCACAAACATTTCTCAAATATTCCTTTTCCTGCAGCAGAACGGTCGATATACTCACAAATTTCCCCTCGATACGCTCATACACAATGGGGCATTGCAATAGTAAGATCTGGGGAAGTTCCACACGAGTAGCCATGTCTTTGTGAGCCACATTTTTCGAAAATACCACTCCACCAACAATGGTACTTTCCAAACGTTTACCACCGGGTACCTTCTTAAAATTTACATAATTCCTTATGTCCATTAAATCATTGGTACAGTATTCCGGTTTGAAATGATTAGCTGCCCGACAGCAAAGCGGATTGAGGACATTTGCCCACTGTAGATCTAAATTGAAGCTGCGTAGCATTTGTGTTAAAAGCTGTTCTTCGTGTTCACAGTAGGACTCCAGTAGCTTAGAGGCTGTTGTGTGCATTGCGTTATCCAAATCGGCATCACGCGTCGTCATTGCTCCAAATGAGGCGTCCAATGATTTTGGTGGGTGTGGTTCAATGCCGTACTGTTCATATTGCGGGTGAGTATTCTCCAATGGTTGATTAATGTCAACATAACCTTCCAACACTTGCCTGCAAAAAAAGTTACAATTTATGTGAACATGAACTGTGCGACAGAATGTGGCCAACATACCTGGGTAGATCGTTTACAAAACGATAATGGAGGTTTTCATCAAATTCCGTTTCTTCAGAATCATGAACAATTGCCTGTATAAATCCAGCGTCTAACATGGCATTTAATATGGCAATGGCCTGAACCTTATTGGAAGACTTGTGATTTGTGTTGAGAAAATCTATCAGCTCAGTACCACAATTTTGTGGTGGCAAAACCTTGCGCATTTCCTCATACAGTGTTATTAGAGAATTGGACTGCTGCAAAATGTGTTTGCGATCATCCATCGTCAAGCTAATGGGTGGTTGGTGGGCAGCAATGCGTTCTTCTTGATACCCCACCGAGACCTTCCTTTGCAATTGTGAGCGAATCGGTTCGGCCGTAAGTTTTGCGGGTTCGCTGTCACTATTCGTTTCCAATTTACTGCTTAAGTCCTGTTGGAGTGCCTGCAGATCCGCGTTTAAGTCTTTGGTTATATTCGGGGAACGCAAATAGCTGAGAACAATTTTGGAACAATAATTGCAGACTTTGAGATCGCCTGTAAATGGAGTAGGTATAGGTATATGCAATTAATTGTAAGTCACTCAACCGCTTACATTTCCCATGATTTGGGAACATTAAATGGGACTACATACCGGAGCACATAATTATTTTTCCCGGAACTACTTGATTGCAACATTTCGAACAGAATATTTGTCCGCACAGGCGACAGTGATGTTTACGTCTAAATGTTGAAAATTTTTGGGTACAATCATAACACTCCTTTGCTTTGGAGTCAGGCATCCAGAAACGTTGTAGATCCGTATCCTTATAATTGCGCAAATCCTATGGGAGAAATATAAACATTAGTTGCACAAAAAAACGTCTGGAGTTTATGATGCCACGTACATTATTTTTAGATGCCATCATCGTTCGAATGCGTTTGAGAACATTAATCATTGAACGGCCCTCACTGGCATCTGCAGGTAAGGTATCAGACCTTGCGACTGCATTATTATCATCCGTTGATACCGATGAACTTTCATTGTTCGTCTTGTGGGAAGGGGCATTTGTGATGGATGACGAATTGACACTGGATGAAGAACTATCACGTGTAATGGTTGAATTGTTGTCTGGAGATTTAACATCGGCATAGAACACAGATTTGTTGGTTGCATGTTGTGACGTTGATGATGTCTGCTGCGTAACACTGGACAAATCGTTGACAGTATTATAACTTTGATTGTAAGCATTTTGTATTTTATTGACGAAACGACCAAACAATGTGTCGGGCTCTTCTTCAAAATCCCGCACAAACTCGGTTAGTTTTGTCATTGAATGTAAATTTTGATTTTGGCTCATATTGTCAATGTTTTTCTTGTGACTTTAATCGAATAAACAGATTGCATGTAGATCTAAGAAGCTTTGGTTGGAAGTTTCTTAGAATGTTGTTAGATTCAGTTGATCGTTGAGAGAAGATTCGGGTGCAAGGGAGCCAAGGGCTAAATCAGTCCATTTTTGTTCCTAAATTACAAAATGCAAATAGAAATAAATTCTTTAGACAATTTCCAATATTTTGTTTACCTGTTCACTTAGAGTTAAGTGTGAATCACCACCATCTGCTTCGGGGTCGGGCAATTTGTCGGCCGGTACTAGTATCTGATCAAACGGTAACTCTTCTTCGCGCCACTTATTATCGACAATGTCTAATAAGTGTCCATCGGCGGGAGCCTGCAGCGGAATAATAAGAATACAAAATCAAACTTGATTAAAGTATTAAGGGGTCTTTTAATCGTTCCACAGAGTAGTCAATATAGCTAGAGTTTATTAGTTTTACAGTTTGTACACAACTTTTATGGTTTTTAATTGTTCTATAAATAACTGACGTCATTTTTACACATTTTGTTCTGTTTGTTCTCACACATGTTTTCATTGTGGCTATCGATTTTTTATCAAATAATTTTGTTCTCTTTCGATACGGATCACTTTTAAAAAGATAAGGGAGTCCACTGTTTTTATCAAATGTGGTATTAAAGGGAAATTATAATTTGTAGGTCGAGTAAATGGTTGGTTTTGGGGTGTCACTTTTAGAAACTACGAGAATTTAACTCTAATCAAAGTTTTAAATTATTTTATTAATATAAATCACTTAAAGTTATTACATGTACATGTGGGAAACACCAAGTTCGTATATAAGAACGATATAATAATTGCATCCTAAAGAACCATTGATGTATGAAAAAAGTTTAGTCTAACTCATGATACAATAAGAAGGTAAAATAAGGAAGGTTCAACAACAAGTGACTTATATTTTATACATTTTGGAAATCTATAAAAAAAGAGGGTGTTCACTTTCCACCGTGTCTAAGGTTCTTTTCAACTATGAACCCTGCTTTAATCTACAGCATCATTAGAAACCTAAAGTGGTTAGGAAAGTGCAACCTTAGCACGTAATATGTCCAAATATCTATAGCCATCGAAACTATTTCCTATTTACCTCCTCATACTTCCTTTCTATCCCCCTTTCTCCCCTACAGATCTCTCCATACCTTTCATGGAAAATCACAATGGACCGGACGGTGTCAGAGTGCGGGAGCCACATTAGTGACTGCATATTCCCAAATCTAAGGAAAACTGTTAACAGAGGTACGCCGCAGTGAGGGGTGCTTTCTCCCCTACTGTAGCTCGGGGTCATAAATGAGATTCTGGTGAAGTTCGACCATGTGAAAATAAAGACTTTAGTCTTTGCGCTGCTGTGGTTTTTTAATGAGTTACACATTTTAACCAATTTTCGTAATTTTGTCAACCCTACGAAGAAAAATTGGTATTGGTACTCTCTACGAAACGTAAAATCCCTAAATATCATCTACCTATCTTAAATTGAGTGGATCTCTCATTAATCTATAAAGCTGCTCTGCATAATTTACACCGAGGACATGGCATAATTAATTATACATGACCTAGGAAGTTAGAGGACCATTATCAACAAAAATGTTTCAGTTTCATTGCGGTCAATCTGTTACAACAACAAATTTCAGTTAGTTACCATAAGAGTGGGTCTACTAACCGAAATGACATGTCTAACATGGCCAACTGTCCTCCACTGTTAATTCTGTGTAAACAGCGGGACTTCCAAAAGAAACATATGACATTCTTTATGGAGGCAAAACGTAGATCACCCTCTTAAAATGAATAAGCTCTATTGAAACGGATTGAAGTTATGAAATAAATTGAATATTAAATACTTAAGGATGAACATAGTTTTTTGCTTTTGTTAAATTTCGCAGGTAGTCATGCTGCATTTGATATTTGGAAATCATTATTTTGCTTTATCTATGGCGTTTAAATTCGATTATACATATTGGCTATGTTTGTGTTATATTTCAAAATAAAAAGATAATCGAACCATCACGACTTGGACACTTGTGTGGAATCATTGTTCGTATTGACCCCTTCATCATGTTGTCTGCTCCAAATTACAAAACATGACATAATTTATATGTATAGGCACTGCAACAAACAAACTCAAACATTGTCTCTGCTTTGTTTTATTATCATCCCACTAGAAGAGAAGTCTATACCGCTGTGGATTGGTTTCACACACACATGATATACTGAATTTCCGAATTTTTTCGTTACTCATTGTTTAATGCCCTTGATTCTGCTGAGCGCTTAACATTGTCACTGCCAAACATACCAACAAACTCATTATGAAAATCAAGAGTCTACTAACACTAACTACGTAAGAACTGCAAGGCAATGCTACTCCAAACTCACCTGACTGTCCATCACTATAGTCTCAAACCGTTTTTAAAACTTGCCTTTTTTTACTATTTAACAAATAAATGGAGTGTGGAATTGTTTTTACTGGTGGCCACAGTCCTTTGTCGATTAGAACAAATTCACTATTGTTTTTAACAAAATATCGGATAAATTATTACTTCTTATCTGCCCGTTTCCAGTCAGTTTTTGTTTTGCTTTTGCAAATTAGTCAGATGCAAAATAAGACCGACCTAATCTAAAAACGTTTGATCGCTGCAAACAGGGGAGATATGAGAGAATAGCCGATAAAGACCTAATCGAAACGAAAAAGGAAGACACTTATCAAGTTTACGAATGAGTGCGAAGCATAACGCAGTGGAACTCGTCTTGTTTAGAATGAGGGCGAAGAAAAAAGAACAAAAATTGTTTCATTTTGTTCGGTTCTGCGGGTTGCCATACGGTCATTTACTCATGATTAGACCTCGGATTTTGCATATTTGCATATTTTTTAATAATGAAGATATCGAAATTCTGATTGGATACAAATTCGTTTCAAAGGATTTAGAATTATTGGAAGGGTTCATATTTTTTTGCATATTTGCATATAATGCATATGCACGAGATATGCAAAATATGCAAAAATATGCAAAAAATATGCACGGTATGCTAGGTCGATATGCGATAAATATATGCAAAAAAAAAAAAAAAAAATAAATAAATAAAAATAAAGGCAAAAATATGCAAAATATGAAAAAATATGCAAAAATATACAAAATCTGCAAAATATGCAAAAAATGCAAAAATATGCAAAATATGGAAAAATATGCACAAATATACAGAATATACAAAAAATATGCAGAATATCCAAAATATGGATAAATATGCAGTATATGCAAAAATATTTTTAAATATTTTTGCATATTCTGCATATTTTTTGCATATTCTGTATATTTTTGCCTATATTTTGCATATTCTGCATATTTTTTTGCATATATTGTGCATATTTATCGCATATCGACCTAGCATACCATATTGACCTAGCATACCGTGCATATTTTTTGCAAATTTGTATATTTTTGCATATTTTTTTCATATTTTGAATATTTTTGCCTTTATTTTGTATTTTTTTGCATATATTTATCGCATATCGACCTAGCATATCGTGCATATTTTTAACATGACCCCAAATATCGGTCAATTGGAGCATGAAACGCCTAAATACAAAATTTGAGTCCAATATGCAAAAATCCGAGGTCTACTCATGATGTTTCGTTTAAATCATGGCATTCACTTTAACAGCAGGTGTGAATCGTACACACGTCGAGTATTTCTGTAAGAGTATTAATCATGTTCACGAATCCAGTGAATTAATTATATTTGATGTATAAGCTATGTAATTGACATTTGCGATCAAATGAAGAACATTCAGTACGTTTTCAGCGTAGAACTGTCAAACTAGCTCTTTCTCTTTTCGCTCTCTTTTACTGGACTTTGAAGTAAACAGACAATATCCAGCAATAGGTTCGTTCGTATACTCAATAATTTGTACAATTTGGTACAAATTATTACAAAATATTGTTCGTTTACCGAAAAGTCCAGTAAAAGATAGTGAATTGAGAGAGCAAATATGACAGTTGTGTTACTGAGTTTTTTTTTGCAAATTCTTACAAGGAAAATGTACTCATTATGAATTTTCTTCTACCATCAGCTGATATTTAATCAGCTGTTTTGTTATGTTTTGTAAACAGAAAAAAATGTTCTCAAGCAAATTGATTGTTTTGTGAATTTTATTTTGATTTTGTATCATTAAACATTAAAATGGATGAAAGAAAGTATTTATAAACAACATCAACATCGCTTGTTATCCATTTTTCTAATAAAAATGCTGCATTTTGTTTGCGTCAAATTGTTTGTTGTTTTAATCAGCTATGTCGAGACAAACATTTTACTGGATGTTGTTCGTTTACTTTTTGCAATTTTTTTTCTTGAGAACGAACAATTCGTATTTTACTGTCTGAAAATTCTTGTTGAGTAAATGTTCTGGGGAAGCATGACATAATTACAGAAGGTTGTCTCATTTGGGAATTTGATGATGGCAGCTCTTTTTCATTTGGAATTCAGAAATCAATTTCAAATAAAATGAAAAAAATTCATAAAATTTTATGTATGTCGATTGGCATATTTTAAATAAATTAAACAAAATATGTTTTCTAAAGCTAAGCGTTGCTCTCAAGATTTAACCATGGTTGTTACAACTTATATTTATTAGATTAAGAGGCAGGGAACTTTCAAATATTTGTAAATATAAATGATTTATAATTTTTTGCCACTGAACAAATAATATGCGAAGGAAGATATTTTCATTTAAATTTTGAAAGCTGAATACTGTCAAAGGCAAATTTATGAAAAAATTAGAAACATATGACGAACGCACTTAATATTTGGTAATAATTGTTACCAAATATCGAGCAAACAGTCACAGCTAAAGTTGAATATTATGAATATTGAGAAATGCAATAAAATAAATTCTAATGTAACAATTAATCAATAAGTATTTTTGAAATGAAATTGTAAAAATATTATTGTAGTTTTTTGTATGCAATCGTCTCGTCAACAGAATTGACGACAAACATCGATTATACTATAAAATGTACCATAGTAAATTCCAAAACCAATGTCGAAAAGTGTTTCCATACACAATTTTGTTAAATTGGACCAAGTTTAGACGCGCACCATAACGTTCTATATTGTCCACCAGAGGTAAGTAATGTGTCAGCTATGAAAATGAAGACGAAAGTGACCTAGATGTCGCTAAGTGCCATTGCATGATATCGTGACAATTGTGCATAGTTCACCGTTTATTTAAACATATTATAAACAAATGTATAAAATATATACATTTTTGTTTTGTTAAAATATTAGATGCCACCCATAGAAACATGTCAAGCCGAAAATTTGAAATTCTCCGTTGGTCCATTATTCTCAGTTGTTTTAAAGGTTAAATTAATAATTCGTAATTCATTTATTTTTTAGGTGGACACTGTTTATATTTTTAGATTAATTAATTATTATTTAATTTGTGGAAGAAATCTTCTTCGATCTTTTGGATAATGATTATAGAAGACGATGCGGACATTTTTTTGAGCGTGTATCGTAGCATTCAAATGTAAACCCACATTGGCCATTGAATGTTTTGTTTATGTTATTCACAAACAATGATGCATGAACATCTGTTTGTGTGCGTTATTGAATTTGCATTTTGCAGCACAAATTACAACATTTTGTGGTTAATTGCATTGTAAACCATTGAGAGTTATAATCAATTTCGATAGACATCAACAAAATGAACCTGACCTTTTACATTTAAATCGTTTCGTATGTGGTCAAAATTGACATTTGTCTTTCTAGTTTGTGCGTTTTCATCCAACTTTGCATAGCAAAAAAGACAACAACAAAAATTGACCCAAAGAAGCGTCACAATTTTACACCCAATTATTGACTCGAATTATCGATCTGATTGAGGATATATTTTTGAGAGTATTTAAATATGAAATATGAACATATTTAGTAATTATGTCTAGAGAAATTTAATAAGATCTCCCAGATATACATTCAGGTTTATCCATGTATTTTCTTAATTGATGCACATTTCTAATTATCAGGAATCAGGACAGTTTAACAGTACATTGGGCATATTTTGCATTTAGATCTACACCTACATCCATATAAAGTCCAAAGAATGGTTGCTTGAACAACAGACAGAGTTTGGAAAATTTTTGAACAAAATGTGCTTCACTTGGTGGGTGTGATAATAAACAAAATTGTCGTATTCGGGCCACTGAAAATCCACAAGTTATTGAAGAGAGGTCGTTACATTCAGAAAAGTTAACTGTTGGTGTGCTCTTTGTTCCGAAGGTGTGATTAGACCTTACGTCTTCAAAAACGATGGAACAACTGTCACCGTAATTCGGAGCATAATGATCATATGATAAAAAGAAACTCGAATGTTCCATCCGATTTTTTTTTTTCGACAAAACATTTTTTGAATTCGTAGGCACGTTCACACAATTTTATTCCGATTTCATTTTCATTTCATTTATTTCACCCAATGTAATATAAAAAAAGCCAGCATGGTCAATAACTTATATAACAATCTATAATAATAAATGCTATTGAAGTTAAATAAAGATGGCTCCCCAACCAAGAATTAAAAATTGGCAAAGTAACACTATGCAACCTGTAATCAGCGATTTCTTCAAAGCCAACTTCATCAAATACGAGACAAATGCACAAACAATTTCCTCCTATACGCAAAAGTGGAAAAGGTAAACTTACGAAGGCTCAAAGACAGCTGATTCCACAATCTTACGACTCTAACTACAAATGATCTTTCACAAATTACAGACGAAAACCTCGGATACAACAACTGAGGGTTCCGAGAGGATCTACACATCACAGACCTACTACACAGTGGTAAATCAACATTTCTCATAATTCTATAATAACACAAAAGGATACGATATTCAACATACTTATCAAAGAATAGGCCAAGCAATTTAACAACAAATTGGGAAACATGATGACTACGACCCAAACCATATACATAACGAACATTGGAGTTAACAACCTTTTGGAGCCAATGCAAATGACCAGAATTAGAGCCCGAAATTACCTCCAAACAATAGTTTACCTGAGACATCAACAACGACATAGCCACCTTCACCCTAAAAGTCGGAACAATTTGTTAGCTGCTGGGTTATCGACAAATATTTTTAAATATTGAACTTGTTTTGTTCAACCCAGCTAGCATTTAAAAGATCGTTTAAAAAAATCACCCTAGGGAGTCTTTAAAGAGTCCTTTGGCGGTTAAAAACTGATTGACACTTGGACGACCAAAAAGGGACTAGAAAATTATTAATAGGAGTTTAATTTAAATACAAAAACAAAATGTATAGCAATCGCAAAAAAATCATCAAAGTGTGCAAAATATGACTATTATTTTCCGTTGTTTATCATATTTTGATCATCTGAAGATTGAAAAAGGCTTAATCAAAAAAGAGCATACATATGTTTGAAAAGCGATTAGAATTGTGTATTCCCTGATCACATTTTGCACAGATGGGCGATTAAAAATGCTTGTCTTGTTTTCTTCTAAGTAAAACGGGACATTTTTTGCTCATTTATAAAAGTTAAGTGAAGGTGTTAATATCAATTTTTAGTGAAGTGAAACAAAGTCCACTAAATTAATTATACTAACGCGAATTGATGTAATCCGTCTAAAAGCGAAGTTCTTCTACATCAGTCTTATTTGCGTCCATGCTCCGACGGAAGACAAAGATGAACAGACCAAAGACATTTTTTTACGAGCGCCTAGAAACTGCATATGACCGCTGCCCTGGTCATGACATTAAAATTCTGCTAGGAGTTTTTGGTGCAAAAATCGGAAGGGAAAATATTTTTGGTGCCACTGTCGGAAAATTCAGCCTCCAGGAAACATCCGACAACGATATGAGGTTGACTAACTTCGCGGCAGCACAAAACATGGTAGTTAGCAGCACCAGATTCAAGCATCTCGATATTGACCATGTTGTGATAGACGGAAGGCATTCGTCCAGTGTTTTAGACGTTCCATCAATACGATACCTTGTGGCAACCAAGGTTCGCAACCGTCTTAATGTAGCAGCAAAGGTGCGATCTAATGTAACACGGAAACTCGACGTCGAAAACATACCAACCTGCTTGACGAAAGTACTTCTTGTCCCGACAATAGTATAGAAGCACAATGGCAAATAATTGCCCACTCCCTACAAACTGCAGCAAAAGCAAGACCACCATCAAGAAATCCATGGTATGATCAGGAGTGTCGTAATGCTACTGTCGTGAAAAACGCAACGTATGCGGCAACTCTGCAGACAGTAGCAACACGTAATGTGATGGAGAATTATCGGGAGAAAAGGAGAGGAGAAACGTATTTTCAGAAAAAAGAAGAAAAAAACAATAAAAACGTGAGCGTGAGCACATTGAGATGTACAGGAGTCAGCATGAAATCCGAAAATTTTACCAACGAGTAAAACACCAAACCGAAGGATTTGGTGCAGGCACATCCTCCTGCAGAAATGAAGAAGGAATGCCGGTGACAGATACTGACAGCGTGCTGAGGATCTGGAAGGAGCATTTTGAAAAACTTTTGGTATCAAATAGTAGCGGTGAAGAGAATACCCCAGAACCAGTAATAGATGACGGTGTATACCACCTAGCCAAGATGAGGTCAGAATAGCAATCAATCGCCTGAAGAATAATAAAGTAGCAGGTGGCGATGGTTTACAAGCCGAACTATTCAAGTACAATTTGGCTAGTTGAAAGCATGCCCAATGATTGGAACCTCAGCATATTGTGTCCCGTGCACAAAAAAGGAGACAGGACGATGTGTGCCAACTATAAAGGAATAAGTCTCCTTCCCATCGCATATAAAGTGCTATCCAGCGTGCTGTGTGAACGACAAGCCAATGGTCAACTGGCACAAGATCAGCAGCTAAAGTCGGAAAGGACATATCGGAGCCCTTTAATACCGAACGAGGATTCAGACAAGGTGACAGTTTGTCGTGTGACCTTTACAACATCCTGCTGGAAAAGATCATACTAGAGGCAAAGGTGAACAGAAAAGGGACTCTGTACACCAAACAACACATGTTACTCGCCTACGCTGATTACATAGACATAATGGGTCGAACATTGAGAGCGGTAACAGCCACCTTTGAACAAATTGAGAAGGAGTCTGCTAAAGTGGGTCTGGCAGTAAACGGAGAGAAGACCAAGCTGATCGTATCAACGCGCAAGACGTCCAGTAGACTCGGACCAACTGTGGAAGTTGAGAACTACAGCTTCGAGGTAGTCAAAGATTTTATATACCTTCGTATCGCCATAAATAAAACTAATAACATCAGTTATGAAACTAATGACATCAGTCGGAGAAGGATAGTGTTGGCCAACATATGGCCTGAGTAAGCAGTTTAGAAACAAGGCCACTTCCCGCCAGACCAAACTCACACTCTACAAGACGCTGATACTACCCGTGCTATTATATGGTTCTGAAGCATGGGTACTTACGCAAGCAGATGAGGCAGCTCTTGGAGTATTTGAGAGAAAATTTCTCCGTAAGATATATGGGCCGATCTGCGTTGACAGTGAATTCCGCCGTCTAATGAACCATGAGCTGTACAATGTATTCTCGGACATCGACATTGTTAGACGTATTTAGCTGCATCGATTACGTTGGCTAGGTCATGTTGTGAGAATGGATGAAGATGCCCCAGCCCAAAAGGCATATAAAAGCGAACCAGCTGATGGTGCAAGCAGAAGGGGAAGGCCACGAATAAGATGGAAAGATCAAGTGGAAGAAAACATTGCGGATATGATCTTTCAAACTTGAAAAACTGCACAAAAGATCGACGCGCCTGCAAATCTTTTTTAAGCTCGGCTTATGGAACGAAAGATCTGTCACAAGCCAGCTAAGATAGTAAGTAACGCAATTCATTATAAACCAGAACAGGATAAAAACTTAAAATATCTTTCAGAAAAACTTAATGATAGTGAAAAACTAGGGATCTTACGCGGATATTGTCCGCGGAGTGAGCACGTCTGTATTTGTTTGCTGTGCATTTACACACTAATTTATTAATATAAAAAGTGCTCCTTATGAACTAAGTATTACAATATGACTTAACCTATCTTAGACTAATGTGTAAAAGAGAGAGAGAGTGCACCTGCCATAACACATGGAGTGGACACACACAAATCTTTATCTCACATGTGGCAAGATTACTCCCCGTAACCTCACCCCAACATACCACATGTGGCAATAGAAAACTCCTATCTTATTCTAGTGTATAAACATTCAACAAGAAAATGCTCTTATCTGTTTTAATGGACGAACTCAAAGTGTTCAAAACTGCCCCCCCCCAGGGGGGGGCATTTTATTAATACATATACATATCAGAAATGCATCAATTCATTAAAAAATATATAAAAAATGTACAAAATTTAAAAAATTTAGATCAAAAATTTTTAAAACATAAAATGACTTAAAAACAGAAATTAATATGGTGAAAAATACAGTTAATTTCGTAATCTTAGTAGCCCATTTGAAATTTTGAGAAATCGAAGCCAAAAGTTAAAAACTCCTTTATTTACTCGAGTTTAATGGGCATGTTCAAAGGTGCCCCACCCATGGCATTTTACGGAAATTTAAAATAACTTTTTTTGTAATAAATATATATGAAAGAAATGACATTAGTTATGTTTGAAATGATTGTTTGAATGCAAAAAATTTGTTTGACGAAAGAAAACTATCACAGAATTCTTCCTGCGCCCTTACAACCAAATGAATAAAAGTTTACAATGACACTGAGAAAACAGGGTCACCCATGCACAATTTTTCGACAACTGAAAAAGGAAGCCAAAGTGGTTTACGCATATAGAGAACAAGATTGCCATATACAACAATGTGGTTGCGGGTCGGAAAAATATTAAACCAAGATTTTATGAGCGCTGTTCAAAGCTGCCCCACGTTCAAAGGTGCCCCCCTCTCCCCTACATATATTTTGGTTCGAATAAAAATATTTTTTGTTTATTTATTTTTTAATAAAGACTTCAAATTCATATCCTTGGATGTAAATTGGTATTCTTAGAATTTAGGGCGTTTTTTTAATGTCTCTTTAATGTGGAAAATATTGAAAACATATTAACATAATCGATTACATTTTAACAAATGACCTCAATGATGTCATTCATTTTTGTTGTCCATACATTGGTCAGACAAGTTCCACAAATTCAGATCACAGAATTGCAGACATGAATAGCTTTAAATTGTTAATGGGGATTAAGCCAATTTAGATAATTGGCTGCCGCTGGACTCTTTTTAAGTGATGTAGCAGTCGCATAAAGACAAAAATACGCAAATAGCTTTAAATTATTGGTGCGAATATCGATGAATAATTACAAATACAACACCTCAACGCCGTGTCTGGCAGAGGATTAAAAAAAAGAAATAAATATGTTTTAACACGCAAATTAGTATGACATTGACCTTGTCGAAGATCACAAGACTGTCTTTCTAATCATAGAAAAAAAAGAAGCAAACTGCAGAAAACCACTTACATCTCGTTTTGGATTTTTTTCTTACCTCTCAACATCTGCTGTTTTAATGCTAATTCAGGAGGCCATATTCTTCGGCAAAGAAGCTCAGTTCTGAAAGCTAAAAAAACTTTTATGAAACCAGTTTTAATTTAGAAACACCAAGGCAATTAACAAAGACACACATCATTGAATGAAAACACATGTATCTAACTAAATAATTTATTAATTTTTTATTTAAAAAAATCTCATAGGCAATGAAGAACAAAAGTAAAAAAAACAAAGAAAAACTAAAAAAATAATGACATAATCATTTGTACACACGACACAATTTAAAATGAATTTAACCAGACAAAGATTTCAAAGAACCGGGGCTCAATTTACGGTTCTTCAACATATAGCGGGCCTTGTAACCCTCCTTGTCGGCTGTGTACATGGTAATGGTTTCGGTATCAGTCTTTTCATCGTAAACGGAGTAGGTACCCATAACGACTAACTCCTGTTCGGGTGTACCGGGATTCATAATCATACCGATTTCTTCACGTTTGCTGCCATCGGGTTCTTCCAAGCTAAGATGAGAGATGGGAGATGAGAGAAGGACGAAGCATTTATTAGTCATTGAATTTGTGGGACATACAATTGTAGTATTACTTACTTGAAACGATAGCCTTCCTTGCTGGGGGCAAAGCTATAACGTTCCTGCATAATTGTGGGGAAGATGGAATCCAACAGACCGGCAGAAGCGGATGCTGAGAAAATGGCCAAAATGGCACATACCAACAACTGAAAACGCAATAGTAATATATAATTTATAATTTTATAAATATTTATTATATTTTATAATAAGTAGATTTAGTAGTAGGATGATTAATGAATATTTGGAAATATGACAGGTTTAAGACAGTTTAACCAATTATCATTTACATTTCTTAATTGCTGCTTCAATGGGTCGTGTATGTTCGTTTAATTTTCCAGTAAACATTATTGTAAAATTACACAATGGCTGAAATAGCAATTTGAGCGACAAAAAGTCAATTTTTTCACTTGTTGGTGCTCAATTCCTAACATATTGATAAAATAGGCAAAAAAGTTTTTACTTTTGGCCTAATGTTTTATTGAAATCGCTTCAGATTTAGATATAGCTCCTATATATAGTTTCAACCAATATTAAGTAAATGGTGCACCAACGAGTTAAAGTGTGTTCGATTGACACAACATTATTATTTGTAACGTATCGAAATGGGTTTGCAAAAATGTCTGGTAAGTTTGGATAAAATTGGTTTAGATTTAGATATAGATCCCATGTAAGTTCGGTTGACACATATTTTGCACAACTTTCTAAAATTAGTAGGGGAGAGGGCGGCACCTTTGAACACTTTTTGCTTTCAAGCCTTACAAAATTTTTTATTTTATAATTTTTGGTTTCTTATAAATTTTAACTAATAGGTACATATGTAACCTTTAAAATGAATATACATATGACATACTATAAGCTTGATAAATATATTTTATTACTGTTTTAATGGACGAACTCAAAGTGTTCAAAACTGCCCCCCAGGGGGGCAGCTTTGAAAATGGATTGGCATTTTTGAACGACATGGTTTTTTACAGTGTTTATGTTCAAATATGTATGTATTTTATTCATACATATCAGAAATGCATTAATTCATTAAAAAATATATAAAAAATGTTCAAAATTTAAAAAATTTAGATCAAAAGTTATTAAACATAAAATGACTTAAAAACAAAAATTAATATGGTGAAAAATACAGTTAATTTCGTAATCTTATTTGCCCATTTGAAATTTTGATAAATCGAAGCGAAAAGTTAAAAAATCCTTTTTTACCCGAGTTAATGGGCATGTTCAAAGGTGCCCCACCCATGGCATTTTACGGAAATTTAAAATAACTTTTTTTGTAATAAATATACATGAAAGAAATTACATTAGTTATGTTTGAAATGATTGTTGGAATGTAAAAAATTTGCTTGGCGAAGGAAAACAATCACAGAATTCTTCCTGCGCCCTTACAACCAAATGAATAAAAGTTTACAATGACACTGAGAAAACATGGTCACCCATGCACAATTTTTCGACAACTGAAAAATTAAGTCAAAGTGGTTTACGCATATAGAGAACAAGATTGCCATATACAAAAATGTGGTTGCGGGTCGGAAAAATATTAAACCAAGATTTTATGAGCGCTGTTCAAAGGTGCCCCACGTTCAAAGGTGCCCCCCTCTCCCCTACATATGGCCTAACAGTGCTAAGTTAAGGTATTTAAATTTCCCCTTTTCACAAAAACGACTCTAATATAATGGATTTTGGCCAACAAGAACCCATTTTACCAAATTTCAGCGATTTTGACGATCGATCTCACTTCGTTAAGAGGCTAGAGTAATTACAACAGAAAGACATGCATGCTTAAATGGACGTCATCGCTGCTCAAGAATATATGCACTTTATAGGGTCGGAAGTGATTATTTCCATGAGTTATACACGGAAAAACAAAATTAATATACCCTCCATATTATGGTGGAGGGCACGTACTGGTGATGGCAAAATAATAAACTTGGTATTTATAAAATCCATCTGTGAGCCTGACAGCAAATATAGACCCTAATCGAAGTTGTGGATTATGCTAATATTAAATAAATAGTGGACATCATGGTATCCCAAATAACCCGCAAACACTACTGAAGTTAATAAATAACATTAACTGTTCTGCCTTGAGAGTGTCTCATTGAAAAGTTCAAAAAGGAAAGACGAAAGATAGCAAATATAAGGAAACGGACTTTATATTTGCTAACATTCTCCAAAGGATGTTAGCAAATATAAGAAACGGACTATATAGAACAAGACTTTATATAAATATTGAAATAAAATTATTATAAAATATAATTTATTTCAATATTTTCAAATATGCCATTCGTCGCACGTAAATGGTTACGGTTTCAAATACAAATTTTATTTTAAAATGACAAAATCAAGTACAGATTTACTGGGGTTGCCATCATCGATTTAGCAAATGAGACTATCTTTAATAAATATGCCATGCATTCCCACGAATTCGAAAGATTTTGTCGAAAAAAAATCGGAATAAAATCACAAAATTAAGATGAAAAACCATTAACAATAAGTATTAAATATATTCTGAGGTTTGTGTTGCTTTTTTCAAATGAATTTTTCGCATGACACAAACAGCTGATTTGAAACAAGCTCCAACAATATAGGTTGCCAAGTCGTCCCCTTGAATCAATCAACAAATTAATGATATTACAGAGTTTTTCATACATTACTTTATGTTGTGAATAATAAAATATAAAAATTCAATTATCGTTAGAATTAACGAAATTACAAAAAATTGCAGAAACAATGTTAAAATCGTATACCATTTATATTGTATGGCAACATGTTTTTGTTGTGCAGAAGTTCGAAATTTTCAATTTAAGGGTCAACAATTTTTTTTTATATAATTCGAATCTACACAAATTAATGAATGCCCCTTAAGTGAGAAGCAGAACAGAAGGTAACTTCTGAGGGGAAGTGTATGTGTGAGGTGTAAAAAAACTCACAGTGTGTTCCAGAACATATCCGATATCTCCTAATTTTGAGTATATCCTATTAGAATAATGAAAATATGTGTTTAGGTTTATTTTCCTATTGCAGAAAAAAACCCAAATTCTTCCTCGACCATGATTTAAAATAAATCTGGATATTAGATAAGGCATTTTTGTAGGTTGTGTCAAAGCGCATATTTATTTAGTTTGACCAGTACTAGAATGTTGTTGTATTTTATAGAAGTATTGAAGTAGTTTACATTGTACCGGATTTGGTTAACTCAGTGGGTTTAAACAGTCAATTACTTTTAATATATGTCAAATAAATCCTCATAAAGTAGGTTAACCCGGTAAAAAGTTCTAATGTAAATGCCGTATTATTCTGATAAAATAGAATCTATTCAAACTCAATTTCTTTTGTTTGGTAAGCTGGGTCTACAGTGGAACTACAGTGGAACCCATGTCGCTTAAAGTTAATATATTTGCCGAAACTTTAAAGTAGGCATTTTATGCTAAGGGCGACAGCCCTAATTTGCATTAAGGGAACCCCACCCATTCTCGATTTTAATTTTTCAAGGTTTTCAATGGGCTGGTAAATCAATACCAATACTTGTTAAGGTTTGTAACTTTGCACATATATGTATGAAGATTTAAAAGAGAAGAAAAATAATTTACAAAAAAAATTTTGTTATTGTTTTGTTGTTGTTTTTTGTAATTAAAGAAAAGTCCCTATTTTTGATGGCGGGCATGATAACTACTCACTGGAACATCGGAATCCGAAAATTCCAACGGTGTTAGAAGGAGTACATGTCTGGCTCTGGTATGAAGTAGGATTATTGACTTCGCTCTAAAATTAACAAAATGGTGGACTTTTGAAAAAATATTTTTGGAAAATCGCCGATTTTTTACCAAAACCCAAGTTAAAAAATAAGGAAGATCTTCACCGATTGACTTTATCCTAGTTCATACAAGAGCTATACACTCCCAGAGAAACGTTGCAAAATTTGGAACCGATTGGATTATTAGTTTTTGAGTTATCGTGCCCGCCATTCGCAAAAAAATGTTTAGAGAAAAACGCGTTTAAAGTTTGAGAAGCCCTTCAGCCGTCACTTGATGCTGACACAATAAATCGGCTATATCTTCAAGAGTTCTTGAGATTTTCACTTGAAATTTTGTAGAGACATTCTTTAATCAGTGTAGATTCGAATTATATCAACACAAATTTTGACCCCGAGAATGGGGGGGGTCCCCTTAACAACCATAATCTGAATTTATCCATTTCAATATGGCAATGCTATCGAAAATCAATAGTTTCCTGTCTATTTTTTACGTTTGTAAAAAATCATGGTATAATAATAGAAGGTAACAGCAAGTGTTGTTGTACAACAAACGATACAACAACCACATGGAAATTTGTTTTTGTAAGTTATACTAGTGTCAACGTCATTTGACAGCAAAATGTAAACAAACAAATAAATTATATTTATTTTGAAAATAAAATATTTTCGAATCCTCAAAATATAATTTGAAAAACATGAATGAAAATCTTTCAAATTTATATTTCTATCGCTTCCACAACTTTCCTATAATTGAGCTATTGCCACTGATTTGTGTAACACATATGAAAATGCAGTGAATTGCGAGTTATTCAATGAAGAACGATTTGCTTCCTCAAACTTTCTCAACTGGCAGATTGAGTAAAATGAATACGGGAGGACATTTAATAAAGAACAATTTCGAATTGTATGCGTTCCCAATTTTCCTGTTGGGTGATTTTTAAAAACATAATTTGTCAAATTCATATTGACACTAGTATTACGTTGGAATCAAATCAGCTGGGACTTGCTGTTACCTTTTATAATTGTACCATGGTGAAAAATAAAAATGTATAATAAAGGCAAATTTGCATAATACTATACTATATACTTTTTCGTATGTAGCAGAGTGTCAGATGTTTAGTTTTTGAAATTTTTGAGTCCTCCTGCAATATATATATATAGTTATAGTAGTCTTTGCCGGCAATGTCTGTAGCCGGTCATTCCACCATTTACTAATCTCTCCATAGTCCGGACTATGGGATTCACGTTCCCTTCGATACAGAAGAATATTTCCACGAGAATTCTCGTATTGAATATGTTTTTAATATAAACAAGTTTTAAATATCATCGTATTGAACATTAATTAATTCAATTAAACCAAATGATCTTTAAAGTTCCTTTTTTATAAAAAGGTGACTGGAGTTATTCAAACCAGATATCGGCAGATAATTATCATTAATTTATACTATTTTTCAAACACTTGTTTTTGTTTTTTTTGTTTATTACTTTTGAAATATTTTAAACGTCAACATCAAGAAGTAGACGATTGGAAATAAGTTCGATAAGCTTAGAATGTTTAATAAATTCGAACATTTGAAAACGAGGAAAATAAAATCTTAATAGAGTATATATGGTGTTATCACATTGACATTTATAAATTCTTGTAGTCCAAGTATTTATTTCTAGCTCATTCTGATACGGATTATTCAAATTCAATTTAGAATTTTATTTGATTTTATTTCGATCAATGGCAGCAATAATGACTATTAAAATTTCGAACATTAATTTTTAATTTCAAAAACACCATTTAACGCACTTTAATGTCAATTAATTCAAAATCGTTTACTTCTTTTAAATGAAAATTTAGCGGATATAACACTTCGAAAATAAGCCTCGATAGCTCTTGACAGGAAACTATTTTAATCCATAATCTTTGAATGTCACAACTAATCTTGTTATGTTTCGTTTCACTTTCGAACATCACTCACCAATTTTGATGATGCCATATTTTCACTTTTTTTGACTAATACACGTCGCTCAGGGTGTAGATCACAACTAAGACTGATAGATCAACCCATATCGAAGTCACCACCAAGCTTTGTGATGTTTTTATTTCAGAAATCGTGATGTCAAATAAACTTTGCAAGATTCTTATGATTTGCAGCCAATACAAGTTTTGTGGTTTTTTTCTATTTCTTCATTATTATTGTCTATTATAATCTGTTAGTTAATAATATTAACTAAGCAAACACTCACTCAAACAGCAAGCGAAAGACAAGTTGAAAGGCCAAAACCGGTCTAAGACTATGAAAAAAAAAACATGGTCAATTTTAGGAGGCATCGAAATGATGGCATTCAAATTATTCGTATATCGCATGCCGTCCAAGAATATCAACACTTACACAGTTCGGTAGATAGAATCGTTGCCATCCATCATCACCGAATGAATTTTGAGAGAACACCGATGCTAATGAATTTAAAAATCCCAGAAATTACCTTAAGCAGACTAATAACATAAATATGTGGCATTTATTATACTTTGTGCTAGTGTTTTTTAATCATTAATCACGATTATAATGACGATTCTATTTTGTTTGTTGTTATTTATTTAAGAGTGAAAAATCTCAAAAAATTAATATTCAAATTTATTTGATTACCGCCCACGATAAGGATTTCATGCAACTATGTTGTTTTGATGATACACTACGTTACAGTGACAAACGTTTACGTCATCTACAAACAATATTTAAAAGTTTTGCTATTTTGACAAAAGTAGCTCCCTTCATGCGATGCTAATTATTTTCTACGAAACAATTTTTAGTTTTTTGGTTATTTTGTTGTTTTGGTTGATACATAGATTTTGGCGTGAGATAAATTTGTACATATGTATAAATTTAATGAGAAATTAAGCAAATATATAATAATGGGATATAAAGGAATTGAGTAACTAACATTTTAATAAGATGTTTGATTTGAATATTTTGTGCGGGGATTTGTAGGCAATTAAAATGTCTTCAGGCCCAATTTATCCATAATAGATTCCATGCAGCTTAATTGTTCCACTACGAGGCCTACTATATGTGGAAAATACATCCAGTTTCAGTCAATTATGGACCAATGTTTTACACGATTTATTTTTAAATTTAAATGAATTCCTAATAAGTGTAAACAAAATATGAGTTTCTTACTTGTAATAATTACTATTTAACAAGGTGAATTTAAAAAGTTGTAAGTGACAATCATATGGTTTCAAACTTTTTTCTTTACTGTTTGTAAAGCCTTTTGTACCAAAAATCGACATTTTATTTCCATTTCGATTTAAAATCAAATGAATTAATAAAAAAATGCAATAAAACTACAATAAAAATACAATAATAAAAACAAAACAATATGAAACGCCATTAAAAACCAATTTTAAATAAATACTAAGGTTTGTGTTGTATTTTTTTCAGAATTAAATTCTCGCTTGACACAAACAGCTGATTTGATCGTGCAAGATAGGGTTACTAAATGCCCCTCTTAGATCAATCAACAAAATAATGATATTACAGAGTCATTCATACATTTAATTTATGTTGTTAATAATAACATATTAGTAAAAACAAGTGAATAAGCGTTAAGTTCGGCGTGGCCGAACTTTGGATACCCTCCACCATAAATATACTGACAGGTACTTGAAATAAAAATGTAAGGAACATACCAAAAAGTGTTCCTATGCCGACATTTCTACAAACCGATTATGGTTCTAAATATTGGTCCTAGACCCCATGTTTCTTTGGACCAAATTTGTTTCAAAAAATTTTGATTTTATCCAAACTTTGCCCATCTTATTATCTCTTCCAAAATTAGTTCAAGTTCCAACATGGGGAATATCGGTCTACTCCTTTTGGTACCTCCCACATAGGGGCTAGGCAAATCTATAATGCGGAAAGTTAAAGACGACGTGGCCAACTATATGCTACCCTTCACCACTTTGGATATATTCCTAACAGACGTTAGGAATGACGTAACTATATATAGGAACTATATCTAAATCTAAACCGATTTCAACTAAACTTGTCACACGTTATGTTCATATATACGTAGAAGCTATATCAACATCTGAACCGATTTTCACGAAACTTAACACACATCATTCTAGACCTAATTCATTCCGCTATGCCAAATTTCGTGCAATCGAAAGATATATATTGACTTTGGTGGACCATTTACATTAAATCGGAGGAAATATATATATGGGAGCTTTATCTAAATCTGAATCGATTTTCAGGAAACTTAACACTCATCATTCTAGACCTAATACATTACGCTATGCCAAATTTCGTGCAAATCGAAAGATATATAAGGACTTTGGTACACCATTTACATTAATCAGACGAAAATATATATGGGAGCTATATCTAAATCTGGACCGATTTTCAAAAAACTTAACATACATCATTCTAGACCTAACTGAGTACGCTGTGCCAAATTTCGTGCAAATCGAAAGATATATAGGGATTTTGGTACACCATTTACATTAAATCGGACGAAAATATATATGGACCGATGTTCACGAAATTTAACACATATCGTTCTAGACCTAATTCAGTATGCTGTGCTAAATTTCGTGCAAATCGAAAGATATATAGAGACTTTGGTACACCATTTACATTTTTCCCAATTTCAATAGGGTTCGTCATTGGGCCAAATCAATTTTGAGTCGATTTTTTGAATATAACGGTTGTTTTTAAGGGTTACGTTTTTTTCACTGTCTGGCTGGCAAAGGGTGAATAAAAAAGGTGAGGGTTAATACAAAAATGTATTTTAAGAAAATGAATTTCTGTTACTGTTTTATTTAATTTATGAACATTTTCATTTAATTTAAGGGAAACCCCCCCCTTCTCGATTTGTTATTTTTAAGATTTTAAATGGGCTGGTAAATGAATAGCAATGCTTGTTAAGATTTGTAACTTTGCACATATATATTTGAAGATTTAAAAAAGAAGAAAAATAATTTACAAAAAATTTGTGTTCTTGTTTTTAGTGATCAAAGAAAAGTCCTTTTTTTGATGGCGGGCATGATAACTCCTCACTGGAACATCGGAATCCGAAAATTTCAACGTTGTTAGAAAGAGTACATGTCTGGCTCTCGTATGAACTAGGATTATTGACTTCGCACAACAATTAACAAAATGGCGGAACTTTGAAATTTTTTTTTTTTGGAAAATCGCCTATTTTTGACCACAAACTTAGTTAAAAAAATAAATAAGATCTTCACCGATTGGCTTTATCCTAGTTCATACGATAGCTATACACTCACAGAGAAAAGTCCCAAAATTTGAAATCGATTAGGTTATTCGCAAAAACACTGTTTGGAGAAAAACGCGTCTAAAGTTAGAGAAGCCCTCTTGATGTCACTTGATGCTAACACAATAAATCGACTATATCTTCAAAAATTGTTGAGATTTTCACTTGAAAATTTATAGGAACATTCTTGAATTAGTGTAGGTTCGAATTAAATCGAAATACAAAATTAAATTTTTTGAAACCGAGTATGGGGGGGGGGTCCCCTTAAATTAATGATACTTTAAATAAAAATCCGAACATTAGAAATAACATGAAATAAATAATTAAATATTTGTTAATTTAAATACAATGTTAAAGTATATATCTTTCTAAACATTATTCTCCTTATTGGTTGCAGGTATTTGAATATTCGATCTTTTTATACCATAAGGTGGAGCGTATATTGAATTTGTCATTTCGTTTGCAGCACCTCGAAATATTCTTGACATTCCTGATCAGAATAAAATTCTATATCGATTTACCCTTCCGTCTGTCTGTTGAATGCACATACATACGTTGCTATTACTCATAGTATGTTTGGTATTACAAAAAGCGGTCCACGTTTTTGAAAAGGCCCCATATAACGGCATCACCAAATAATCGGTATTCTGGGACTTTTTGACACTTTTTTAAACTGAATTGACTGTATTTTCGTACATTGACCCCCATTGGGTAGCAAATCTCCCTAGCAGAAGTATTCGATATGGGTCCACTTTTAAAGATAGCCCCCATATAAAACTGTACTCCCCATTATTAAGCATTTTGGAGACTTTGGACACGTTTTTCAATAAAATTTGCTATAATTTATATGTTCATTGGGTGATCCATCTTCCTAATATAACTAATCAATATTGGTCAACATTTTACCATAGCGTACATATAACGGCACCCCCAAATATTCGGTTTTTTGGGGATTTATGTCACGTTTTTCAACGAAATTAGTATTTTGAACTATCATTTGTTAAAAAATCTTACTAAATTAATAATATTGACACATTTATTTGGATAGTCCCATATAACGCTACCCTCCATTATTCTGTATTTTTGGGATTATGCACCCGTTTTTAAAACGACTGTGCTTTCATTTGTGTTTGACATACTAAAACACTTTCGTGGCACAATCTGTCATATCTTTAAAGTCCAGAAGGATTACAGGTGTTTTATATGTATACCTCATGGTATAAGTTATGAAAAGTTTAGACCGGCCAAACATAACGAATTTTTTACTAGTTTTTTACTAAAATCACATATATGGGCAATATTGCCAATTTTTTAATATTCCATTTTCAAAAAATCAGCTTTTTTGTTTTTGTGGCACATCTATGATTTTTGGTACACATATAGAGAAAAATGTTCTGACTCCGAAACCGTTCGCGATCAAATTTTTGGTTGATGCGCGCAAAAGTTATCGAGGTTTTAATTTTGGGCATAAGAAAAAAATCTTAAAATTACGCCGTTTATTATATTGACCAAAAACGTTGATATATATCTTCCTCCGTAAAATAAGAATATGAATATATTATAATAATCACGATAAAGTTGCACATATTCGCGAAATATGAGAAAAATAAAAAAATATAGCAGAATACATCAATATTTTCATTATTTTAATGACATACACATACCTAAAAATTAATTTAAAAATATCTACACAATCTAAACACGATGGTGAATCAAATGATATCAAAATCACACAAGTCCGTGTAGCGGTTTCGAAATCACAGCGACAACAAAACAAGATATTGAGGAAAAATATTTGTTTTTCGTTCGAAAAAATAATGTCATCATATTTATTTTTTTAATTTTATACAAGAAATTTCAGAAAAAAATGTTGGGGTTATTCTGCTATTTTACCCGAATTTCGCCGAAAAATTGACATATATAATAATAATCACTTTTTGTTTATAAGTATACGCCTTGCGGATTATATCAAGACCCTTCCGATAAATCTTAGAATTCTATAAATAGGAATAAATCTTAAAATAAAATAATATTATGAAATATACATTTTAAATTGCGTCTACATCGCGTAATTCTCAAAATCAGTTGATGCGCATGCGGTTTCCAGGAAGTACTGAAGTTTATCTTCCAATTCATATATATTTTGCGAAATTTCATTTGACGACTAAGATGTGCCACACGTTGCATTGAAGTACTCAAAAAATCGTAAAACGCGAATAATTTCCGAAAACTCCATATGCCATTAACGCGCATTCGATTTCGGTGTGCACCCTAAAAAAATACATCGATCTATACCGATTTCAATGTGGTCCATTAAGAACCATGGATGTGCCAGCTCATACTATTTTTGAGATAAATTGAGTCTAATTCGCGTAATTCTCAAATTCATTTGATGCGCATGCGGTTTTCAGGAAGTACTGAAGTTTATCTTCCAATTCATATATATTTTGCGAAATTTCATTTGAAGGCTAAAATGTGCCGCACGTTACATTGAAGTACCCAAAAAATAGTAAAACGCGAATAATTTCCGAAAACTCCATATGCCATTAACGCGCATCCGATTTCGGTGTGCACCCTAAAAAAATACATCGATATATACCATTTCAATGTGGTCCATTAAGAACCATGGATGTGCCATCACAATCTATTTTTGAGATAAATTGGGTACATCTCTCTTTCGGCTGAAGTTTTTAAAGTTCTCTTCTCGAAAAAGATCAAAATCCGTATGAGGTCATTTATTGATGCGGAAATGATACACAGAAAACGCAAATAAATCCGCGATATTTTCCAAAACATTTTTTGCCAAATTTCGTGTTTTTGGAAGGCCAGTTCTCGCCGTTCTAGTAGATGGATTTTCACGAAGAAGATTTTATATCATCCGAAACGTAAAAAACCTTATTGATCGCGGGTACCCATATCATTCAGTTGACAGATCTAAAAATTTGGCCCGAAAAATAGGTTTTTTAGAAATTTGATCGCACAAAATTCGCACCTTCGGATGAGTATTACTCTGAAGCTGTGCATACTACATACACAAAATACATATCAAATTACGCAGAATCGCGACTACAATAATCTTATGATCGATTTTTATAAATTCCTGTTTGCGTATTAAAGCTAGAAGTAAAATTAAAAAAACACTCAAAATCGAGCTTCAAAATGTCAGCATCATTTAAAGGTAGATGCAGTTAAAATTTTGAAAAATGATACATAAGGGGCGTAGTCCCCATTTTGTTGGCTTCTAGTTTTCTTTTGACACGAAGACCGTGCAATGAGTGGCTTAGTCACAAATCGATAGAGAACATAAAAAAACTGGTTCGCCTCAACCTGTTTTTACACGTTTTTTTACAATAAAGTAGACTCAGCTTCCACCAAAATAAAGTTTGGAGGTCAATATCATGAACAGTTTGCAACGACAGATCAGTTAACCCAAAACTATTCACTTTTTTTCATATACTTAAGTAGTTCCCGAGTTATAAAGGGGTGAACCTCCGCTTCAGCTATGTTAAAAAATTGGCAATATTGCCCATATACATACTATCTAAAAGCTTCCAAAGTACGAATTTCTAATATATTTCTAAAATAAATGTGTTTTTTAATGTTTTATTTATTTTATTAAAATAGAAAATAAACGTAACCCACGCGCGCGTTTAACAAAAATGTAAACAAACTGATTATATGTGTTTACGATAAAATTGTTTTTGTTTTTCGGAAATGAATATTTCGATGAGTTACAAACGGAACAATTGCTCAGACAAGATCCACAAATTTAGATCATAAAACTGCAGAATGGGCCGTGAATGTTATTTAAATGTTTATATAGATTTGATAATTGTATACCTCTGAGCTCTTTTAAATTTGTAACTGCCACATGGAAATATACATATCTACATATGTATGCTGTACAAATATCGAGGGAGTAACACATTAACACCACGTCTAACAGAGGATTAAAAAATACACCAGACGCGACCAAAACCAACACGCAAATTTATGTGACATTGACCTTGCCGAAAACAGCAGAAAAACACTTACATCTCGTTTTGCCAAATTCGATGACCATATTCTTCGATAAAGAAGCTCAGTTTTGAATATTAAAAAAATAATAATATGAAACCGGTTCGAATATAGAAACATCTAGGCAATAAGAAAGACACTCATGAATGAATGTAAACACATTTATCTAACGAACTTATCTATACACTTTTATTAAGAAAATCAAAGAAAATAAATAAAAATCGAAAATAAAAAATAAAATTAACTAAAAAATGACCACTTGAAAATGTGTGCAACACGCAATTTCAAATAATTTAACCTGTCGCCGATTTCAAAGTACTGGGGTTTAATTTACGGTTCTTCAACATATAGCGAGCCTTGTAACCATCCTTGTCGGCTGTGTACATGGTAACAGTTTCGGAATCGGTCTTTTCATCGTAAACCGAGTAGGTACCCATAACGACTAACTCCTCTTCCGGTGTACCGGGATTCATAATCATACCGACTTCTTCACGTTTGCTGCCATCGGGTTCGTCCAAGCTATGCGAGGGATTGAAAGAGATGGAGAAGGACAACACATTTATTACACACTATATGGGAAATACTGTGGAAAAATTACTTACTTGAAACGATAACCTTCCTTGCTGGGCACAAAGCTATAATGTTCCTGCATAATGGTGGGTAAGATGACATCCAATAGACCGGCAGAAGTGAATGTTGAGAAATAAGCCAAAATGGCACATACCAATAACTGAAAATGTAACAGCAACATCGTACAAATTAAGGATAAAATTATACGATATTCTCTATGGAAGTAATGTAATGCTATATTCGCAGACTTATATAAATGTTTAAATATTCTACTTAACATAAACTTAACCAAAATATTTATTTTTACACGACAAATATCTAAGTATAACATTATTTTCATAATTTCATTCATTGTTAATTTTTTCTACATGCCTCGCTTTGAATCCTAGTAAAAATACTTATAATCACGAGAAAGCCACTCCTTTTGCCAAAAATGTAAACATTTCATCAATATCACAATTAGTACGTGCTTACTTCGCTCTACTTTACCACTATTTGTGTTCATTTTTCTTCTCGCTCTCTCTCACACACTTTTTTGACAAAAATAAATGTATTACTCTAAAGAAAAAGGCACCACAACCATTATTCATCGTCCGCCTGTGTATTGTTTTGGTATCGTTTTCCGGCTCTCCCCTTATTTTGTGGTTTATTTGACAAGTAAGAATTTGCAGAGAGTAAATACGAATTTTTCCTTCTCAAGAGAGAAAACTGCAAAAAGTAAACGAACAACATCCAGTAAAAAGATTGTTTCGACACAGCTGATTAAAACAACAAACAAATTGTTTGGATTTGGAACCTAAAAAATCGTTCGCCAATTACTTTGTATTACCTTATTTTTAAATACTTGTTTTTTTTTTGGTATTTAATGATACAAAATCAAAATAAAATTCACAAAACAATCAATTTTCTTGAGAACAATTTTTTGTTTGTTTACAAAATTCAAAACAGCTGATTAAATATCAGCTATTTTCAAAATTATTTCATTTTCCTAAGAATTTGCTAATTACACATATATTGAAAAACTTTTGGGTAAACGAACAACATTTTGTAATAATTTGCCCAAATTCGAAAATTATTTAACATTTGTATATCTTTAAATCTGAACCTATTTCAACAAGTTTAGACTCCTTTCATTATTATATACACTCAAAAACACCATTATTATCGAGGTTGTTTTCAGGCCATTCAAAAATAATATTCGAAATCGAATAATAAGAAATAAGAAATAAATGTTAATCCAGTATTTATTTCTATTTTATTCGATAAAACAAAATCAATATCTAGTGGGAAAATAATTATGGGGACAATAACGATTTTAAAAATTGACACCTTTTTTAAATCACATACAATTTATATTTGCAACATAAACCGATTCTTCGATTTCATTAACTTATATCACTTTTTTCAAAATAGGTTTTAAAGATGTTGACAGGAACAGCATTTAATCCATGGCAATTGAATGTTACAATATTTATGTTCTTTTTTACATTTTTTTGCACTTTCAAAACATCACTCACCAATTTTGAAGATGCCATACTATTTTATTTTTATTCAATACACGTCGCCCAAGGCGTAGATCACAACTAAGACTGATAGATCATCCCATATCGAAGTCACCACAAAGCTTTGCATTTTTTCCAAAATCATGGTTCCAAAAAATGTAAAAATATTGTTAAGTTCGGTCGGGCCGAACCTTTTATACCCTCCACAATGGGATGGGTATTAAAAATTTTTTAAAAAACGTTGGGGAACCAACGTGACTTTTATATTGTTGCTATGTCAAAACATGAACCTATAGAGAATATTTCCTGTGAACATATATTTTACCTATCTGGAAAGTGGAATGCCTAATTACATCTATTGGCGGCTGTGCTATGATTGTATGTAAATGAGACCTTTATATGGGGCTATTCTAAAATATGAACCAACATTGAAAATTTCCTGTGTTTTACCCACCAATCCCCTTTTGTTGCAGAATGCCCTGAATTCATGAAAATACCAACCCCATATAAAAGGTATTGTCTAAACATGGAACCTTTTTGGAAATTTTGTGCAGTGACGGTTTTAGCCCACCAAGTGCCCGGAGCGCTAAATTATTGTATCTTCGGAAAACAGCGAATTTTATTCAGAAAAAATACTGGGCTCTCCAATGAATATTTCGAGATGTTGCAAACGGAATGACAAATATAATACACACACCACCTGACAATGTGGGACATAATGAAGATTTTGCAAGATTCTGAAGATTTGCAGCCTATGTGTTTTTTATTTTCAATTTCTGCATTATTATTGCCTATTGTAATTTGTTTGTTAATAACATTAACAATGCAAAAATTGAAACATCATCCGAAAGGCAAGTTGAATGGCCAAAACCGGTCTCTGAAGACATAGTCAATTTCAGGAGGCATCGAAATGATGGCATTCAAATTATACGCACACAAATGTCCAATAATCGCCCAAGAATATATTTTGCATTCATCATGACTTACTGAATTTAAAAGTTTTGAATGCCATAGACCAAAAGCAAAACAAAAAAAAAAAAAAAAAAAAAAAAAAAAAAACATCCGCCAAATAATGATGCTAATGGATTTAAAAAATCCCAGAAATCACCTTAAGAAGACTAATACCGTAAATATGTGGAATCTTATATTTATTTATATTAATCACGATCGTTGCGAAGATTCTAGCGTGATGGAAATTTTGTTTTATTAATAATAACAGAATATTTCATTTGCATTTCTTATGATTACCACCCACGATAAGGATTTCCTGCAACCACAATTTTAGATGATACAATATGTTATAGTGTCGTACGTTTACGTCACCTTAAAAATATTTAAAAATTAGCTATCTTGACAAAACTAGCTCTCATTATGTTAATTATATTTTACGAACGAATTGTCAAGTTTTTGTTTAGTTGAAACACAGATGTCTGCGTGAGATCAATTTGTATATTTGTTTAATTCGAAAAAAGTAAAAAAAAACTGTTTGCTTGCAACACTGCTTTGTACTCTTTTGTTTGATTAGAATCTTACAATTTAATATTATTTGCGGAACTTTTCTAGATAATCAACTCCATATACCCTCTATTATAAAAGCATTATCACATAAGCATGGACAGCTTGAATAACAAAAAATCAACTCTGTAGGTAGTGGCTTCTTCTGCCAGCGTTGCCAGTTTTTGTTCTAACTGAAATCCCCAAATGAAGATGTGTTATCCTCAAAAATCCCCAAAAATAAATTAACATCCCAAAAAGTCCCATATATATTAAAATAATCTATGCTCCAGAACCCACACGAATCTTCAATTAATCGAAATTATTTTCGATTTCCTCTTTATAAATTTTAAAAGTGTAACTTTTTTCACTCATAGTTGATGAAACAGTTATACAAATTTAATATTATAAAGTCAATAGATTAATAACCGTGGTACATTTTTTACCCATCGAAATTTAGTGTTATAATTCATTAGAAATTTGACTATCAGGTGTGCTTTATAAATTAGTGTATGGGGATTTGAGGTAGATGAAAGTACACAAAATTATATATACATTAAAGGAATATTTATCAAAGTTCATGTCTAAATGGTAATCTCTCTAAAACAATGATAGTACTTTTGTGGTAGCTTTCGAATTTTATTATATTTATAGGAATCTTATTTAGGTGTTTCTCAACCCCTGTAGCCAACCTTTAAATTAGGATGATTTTTTTTTTTTAAATAATATAATAAAAATAAAAATACAAATTTCAGTGGATCTTGTACCTTACAGTTATTGAAGTCATAACATAATAGCAAAAGAAGTGATCACTGGGCAGATAGGTTACAAATTTAATAGATGAAGTTGATTTTTCGGAAAAATATAAAAAGCAAACATTCAGGTTTAACTTAACCCCTTGAATAATTAGTATATGGGCACTTCCGCAGTCACTTACACGACTTTCAGAGGCAAAATCAAATTTTAAATCTTAAATAAATCGAAAACAATTACATATTTTACAATTCCCCCATGATACTTTTTTTATAGAACTTTAGGAGTTTTTAACTTTTGAGATAAAAGCCACAAAAGAGCGGTCACTCACGCGACTTCAAATATACACGACTTCAGACATCACTGCTAAAAATGGTAAAACTCTGAGAAATGTGTAAATATTTTGAACTTTTTATATTCTTTACATGAGTAAGAGATATCAAGCAATATAATTGCATTTTCAAAATTTTAAAATTTGTCATACCCTTTATTTGCGAAGGCTTTTTCTCGGTCACTAACGCGACGTAACTCACTCGACATTGTTGATTTTGCAATTTTTATTTCTACAGTCTCTGCATTTATAGTCTTTAAATTAGTATTTATGCTAAGAACAAGAAGAAAAAATGACAAATGTGGCCTTTCTTTGTATTTTTTGCCTTTACTTTACGAATTTAAGCATAAATAAGGAAACTAATTCTTCGACTTTGGTTTACCTTTTTGCGGAAGTGCCCATATGTGGAAATGAATATGGTAAATATTTTTCGAAGTTTGACCGACAACTCATAAATTAATATTACTGACAATGGACGGCATACAAAAAAATATTTTTTTTTCCAACAATTGTCTTTATATTTTTATAAACGCCAAGTACTGATTTTAAATAATTCGGGTCTATTATGTGGAGGCTTTTAAAACATAAGGACCTATATTGCTTTTATTTTATTATTCTATGAACCCAGAATGCCAAATTACAACCAGAGAAATTTGGCTAAGACTTTGAAAATACTAAAAATTCGGCGGGGACTTGTATATGTATATTTATATTTTTATTTCCTCCTTATGTACGTCCTACTGATGGCAAAATAATAAATGTTTTATACCCGTCAAGAACAAGTCACCTTGAGAAAATTTTTAATCAGATTGATCTGTATTTTGGGTTCTCATTGGGCGCCACTATTTGGTATTTTTGGGCAAATTTTTCTTGGTAAACCCCCAAATGAATAACGGTTTTCTTTATTTTCGGTTTAATATTTTGGGTTGATCGGTCACTGTTTGAGTATAGCTCTCATATCTTTATATGAAAGCTTTACCAGCCCCTTTATTCTGATTTGGTTTTAGAAGCTTTTTCCAATTGATGTGACTATATTTTATTTTATTGACTTTAATGTTACATTTCGGGCAAACAACTGATTCACAGAAAATGTTTAATGTAAGTCCGAACTTTTGTACGCCAAATATCTAAAGTGTGCCCAATTGAGACCAGACACTGAACAGCGTAAGAAATTCAGCCAACAATGATATATATTAAGTTTTGTCAAGTAGTGTTAGATTGTAAGTAGATTGTAGATTGTAAGTAGTGTTTTTAGTGTTGCCAAAATTTCAGATCAATATAAGAATCTTGGGAGCCCCACTTGCATATACCCATAGTGTAGTAGGCCCCGATCGACTTTCGTCTTTTCCTTGCTGGTTTGAGTTGTGAGTACCCAATAATCCCTACCATATATATATATATATATATATATATGTCGGTATGCAGAATACGAGCATCTATATTTAAAAATGGTTAATAATTAGTCATTATTGACATATGAAGTCATTATTGACATATTGTATATTTCATTTGGTCGCAAGTTCTATACCTTTTGTTACTTATATGTTAACAACCACCTTTAATTTGTGTTTGACATTTTGTCAGAATTCAAAATTCATGAATCCTAGAATTGTTAACATAGAGTTCTGGTTGTGAACAACAATAAATTGTAGAAAAAAGATTGAGAATGAGTAAACAAATATCTGTTCAGAAAATTTCCAACACGAGATTATTTAAATGTAAATAAAAAAATGTAATTTAAAAAATGAGTTAGTTTTAATTTAGAAGTTACATATTGCTTTGTTTCTGAACCTGTAAGGGTCTTCAATTACTTCAAATTGTTCTCGATTTTTCCTTAATATATTTGAAAAGTTTTACCAGTTTTGAGTACGGGAACAGACCATAGTTTATTGTCTATCCTCATCAATTTTTTCTTGCTTTGAAAATGTAATCATTAAAAAAAACTGTCATGCCGTTAAATTACACCCTTTCAATAACCTATTATTGCAATAGGTCAATACACCTATTAGGCATAATACTAATTATACATCTATACAATCTAAATATACGTTTCGAATACATGGGACTTCCCCATTTCAATGTTGTGATGTTTTGATTTTGGGCATTCCAAAAAAGTTTTAGTTTCCAAAAATATGATATTGTTTCGTGTTTTTGTTGTTGTGTTATATATCCGCTATTTTGATTTTTGTTTTTATAGACAATAATTTATTTAACACCGCTTAAGTTGAAAAAGAATAAAGAAGCCAAAGCTTTGTGGTTAGCCAGTTTGGTATTATTTAGCATTATGTGTCATCTTAATATTTTCTTGGTGGAGTTCGTATTTGTCAAATCGGATTAAACAGATGGTATTCGCATTCATGTTGATGATTTTCTATGAAAATATTATCTATTTCTTGCTAAAAACGTTGACGTCATTTTGGCGCCCAACCACGAGAAAGAACAATGGGTGTCTTAAAAATGTATAACAAGTATTATTAGTTTGGCCTTTTGAAAATGGTTAGAAATTGTTTTAGAAATGAATAAATATTCTAATCTGCTAA